AAAATCCATGTGGAAAAATGCAGAAACTTTTCAGTTGTGCTGGAAAGAGTATGAAAGGTATTTTTATTTTTTAAAAGATGGATTTTCTTTATTAGTAGCATTTAACGGACACTGCTTGTTTCATTTTATTTTGAGCGATGCCCGTCTCGTTTGCTATGACGAGCAAATATTTTGGTTAAAAGAAAATATCTTTAAATCTGCCGGGGGTAATTTTGGATTTATCTGTGCTGGTGAGAACTGACATCAGGAGTTTTGGATAACAATCATTTGTTCTGTTCTTGGTTTACTGCCAATCGTAATGCGTTGTTTTTGTTTTTGCCATATTTTAGCCCACTTCATGATGTCAAACAAGGTGTGTTTTGTGTGTGTGTGTAATTTCTTGATTCTTCAAATGCTACTCTAATCAGGTTTGGGTGAAATTAAAAAAAAAAAAAGTAAAAAAAATGTGGTTTAAAAACAAGAGTTAATTATATTTTCAGCTGTTGGTTTGGATTGCTTTACTCCTCCGTAAAAGAGAAAATTATTTCAAATCTGCATTTTGCATTTCTTTAGGTAATCTTGGTTTGTTTTTAAAATTAGCTGAATGAGCTAAAACATGTAGGTGTAAAAACAGAACAAAACAAGCCTGTAAGGGTTTTCCAAATCATGTTTGAATAAAGCCTTGCTTTAGTAAATATAAAATTGTTATGTTGGGAGCTATTATCAAGGGGTTGAACACTGAACACTAAAAAGCTATTCATTGCAGGAAATCTAGTCTGTTGAATGAAAATTGCTGTTTTTTTTTTTTTTTTTACCTTTTCTACAATATGAAAAAAAAACAACTATTTAAATGGTCGCAACAAACGGGCAAAAGGAGCAACAAATATTTTCTGGTTTGCTTACTTTCTTATCTTAAAAAACATAAAAAGATTATTTGTTTTTGTTGTGTTTTCAGGTTGGGAGAACATTAACTCCTGGCTGGTTTTGCTCTAAGTAAACACATGAAAATAACTACAATTATTATTTTTTTAATCAAAATATTATACATTTTATGGATGCAGTTAAGTTTAAGTGTTGTTCGTAATAAGACAAAGTTAAGGAAGATTTACCTTGCTGCGTGTGCACTAAGCGGTAGCCGTCTTTGTGTGCGTACATGACGCGGAGGTCGCCTGAGAAGAATTACTCATCCACTCCACCAATGTGGCCTTTATGAAAGAACGACAAGACGAAAGTCATGAGAAGTTGTGTTGGTCGTTTGCCACAAGCCGTGTGAGGGACGCAGCAAAAGGGGTGGAAGAAAATGCTCCGGATAGACAAGGCCGAAAATGAAACAGACACTCAACACTTCACATAACCCTAGAAACGCACCACTGTCACTTTGACACACGGTGATGGCAGCATGCTGCTCTGGGGATGATTTTCTTCAACTACAGGGATTGAGGAGAAGATAAATGAAGCTAAATACAGGGCAAAAGTGGAATAGTGGAATGGTTTCAAAGCATACTCGTGTGTGAGACTGGCCCAGTCAAAGTCCGTTCAAAGCTAGGTCTTTTTCGTTCTGTCAAAAAGCACTTTCAAATGTGTGATACGACTAAAATCAACCCTTTTAACTTTTGTGAGACATGCTTTTACTTCCATGTTGTGTGCTGATCTTTTTGGTTATTACATTCCCAAGTTTGCAAAATCACACACAAAACATTAGTATGGACACTGAAAAAAAATTAGTTGCTTGTTTTAGCATTATTCCTAAATAAAACTTTGGGGCAAATGATGCAAAAAGTAGCTTAAACTAACTGTTGTTTCTTTTTCTTATCTGTAAGTCATCCTGCGGCGTGTGTTTTCTTGTGAATCTTCCTTGATGGTCAGCCTTCAGTTTCTATTGTTATTAAATTGCTGTAACTCACGGGGTTTCATTCATTAAGCTGCATTCCCCTTTTCCATCCCTTCCCCCCATTTTACTGCCTAGCAATATTTGGAAGAGAAATGGACGACTTCCCCACCAAACGGCACAGAGTGGGTGTGTTACAACGTCGTGTTATACAAGACGGCAACAACGAGCGAAGTAAAAACACACGCATATTCACACGTTTGCAGAGCTAAAACAATGTACACAGTTAGATACAACGGTTGTAAATCCTTCACGGACAGGGGAGCCGTGATATTCAACAAATTCTGTTAAACAATGTCGTAGAAATTATGCAACGCTCCCTGCGTCCTCTGTTAAATTACAACTGTGTAATACTTTTTTTGTCGTAAAATGTGGTAAATACAGGCTAATTTCGTCGTAACAGCTAAGCTACAGCAATGTGTCCTCTGCTTTAGCAGGCTGCCATTTCTAGCTCCACTCTACAGAGACCGAGTGAGACGCACTTGTTTGTGTGGTTCCGCCATTTTCGTTGAGGGGGAGGGGGGATTAATACAAATAAACAAAAAAATGCAAACCAACGGAAAATAAAATTCAGCAGAAGCAGCTGTTAACATAATGATATTTTAGCCACTCGTCGCCAACATCTGAAGAACGTTATCCTGCGCAGCGAGTCGTACGGCGCGCACTAGCTGACGCTCGGCGGATGAATATTAACGCAGGCGGGACTATGTTCGAGCGAGGCTGAATGGAGGCAGCCTCTTCCTGGTGGATAAACAGTGACAGCTACAGGGCAGCCACCTAGACCCAGCACACAAGCTCTGGCGCTGCCCTGGCAAACAACACCCAAAATGGCTTCAGACAGTACACACATCGCGCAGTTGACTTCTGGTGAGTAAAGTGAGATCGAAGAGTGTGTCACGGCTGTTTTAATAGCCCCCAAAATTTTCCTCGGTGCCCTCTTCTAACGCAGCTCCCGTCCTCTTCTCCCCCTCCAACCGTACCAGAACTGTACTTCCTAATAGCCCGGTTTCTAGAGGCTGGACCGTGCCAGAAAGCCGCCGAGGTTGGTGTTTTTGCATTTTAGGTTAATTTAGAACATGTCCAAAATTGTCATGAGGTGTAATTTTGCGTTTTTATCCTATTTTCAGACCCTGATAAGGGAGGTGGAGGAGAAGGAGGTAAGCAGTCAGCACTACGAGAGAGATGCTTCTCTCTGCACTGTACTGTGTGATGTTGCCTTTTCTCTCTGAATTATCATTTAGCGTTTTAAAACATCACTCCACACATTTATGAACTGGGTGGTCACACTCCACATTATTTCTCTGTTTTAGCTGCTACCCAGAAGGCTGGACTGGACAGGGCAGGAGCACCCCGGGACGTACAAAAATTTGGTAAGGCTGCTCTATAACCGAGGGAAAAAGTTTTTAGAGAGCAAAATAAAAATTGAATTTCCCGCAATTTTTAAATCAGGTGGCAAAGAAAGAACCCTAAAGCACTCTCGGGGCGAGCTGGCTCCTGGTTGGGGGGTTGTTTTGCAGCACCGACCGGGTCGAAAGCCGACCCCATGTGCAGCCCGGTGTGCGGGTTCGGTGTCACGCAGATCCAAAAGGTTTAAATAGTTGTTGGAAAATAGTGTGCGAAATGTTGATACGTCACGAGGGCTGTGTGGTGTGGGAGCGCCAGGATCAGGAGGAGGGACTCCCTGCGCCACAAGCCTGGGAGAGATGGAGGCGCTCTTGTCCTACAAAGAACCAACATTTGTGTGCATGGGGCAAGAGTTGGAAAAGATGACTTTTTTTTTTTTTTTAAGAGAGGGGAGATATAAACAGCAGAATTTAGTAAAGCTGCTCTGTTGGAGCTCCCTGCTCGGCGTGGAGGCATTCTGGGAGAAGGAGTTGTTTATAGGGGAACTTGGATGCAAGTTGGAGCTCAAGAAAGGAAGCTGATCAGCTCATGTGAAGATGAGAGGTAACTTTTTTGCTGATATGTTCTATTAGAGCTATTAATTTAAAGGCTAATTGTCATGTAAACAAACGGTTATAAGCGCTTATTTACGCACGGGGGCGTGGAGACCATTTGTTATCGCGTGCATATTTACGTCTTAGCTCGCCCGCGTGAAGTGAAGTAGTCGACTCATTTTTTTTTGTTGCCATTTTAATTGTTTTTATTTTAATACTGATATTTTGTAATTGAATGTGACACATTTAAAGGAAATAAATATACACACGGGTTTGCAAGTGTCTTTCCTCGCATTTACGAAAACGTGCGTGTAGAGATCGACAGGCGAAACGCTGCGAATTACGACAGAAACGAATCTTAGATGTTTAAAGAAAATAATTGACGGCGCGCTTCTTCTGCCTGGCTGCGTTTCTTTTCTCGCTCTTCCTGCTTGTCTCTCCGTTCCTCCCCCTCCTCCACCTCCTCCTCTTCTTCCTCCCTTCTTCAGCCAACCTCACCGGTCTATTGTGTGTAACATCTACTGTTGTGTATAGAGTATTTAAGAACAAAAATCCTGCGGACGCGGTTTTAATTATTCGACCAAAAAACGGAAAGCGGATCGTGGGGCGTTTCAAATGTCGGTGTTCTGCCTCTCTATCAAAGAAAGGGGGGGGTTGGGCAGCAATGAAGAGCACACGCATACCCCTCATTGATATTGTTGTAATTAACAATATTAATTATGGCTAATTAATTGAAGGGGGGGGGGATTAATTAGATTTTTGATTATTTCCATCCTCCATGTAAATTAAACGGATTCATAGCGTTTTTGAAACGCTGCGATTTTGAAAAAATTGAAATATTTTGTTACCTTATTAGTAGCTGATCGATTGAATTATTGATTTATTTAAAAATGTAATCCTTTAATGTTCGCTTAATTTTAGACCAAGTAATTTAAACTGGAATTAGAAGCTACATATGTATGTTTTTGTTGCTAATTTCACATTTTCATTGTTACGCAAGGAGGTGTAAGATATAAAGAATAAAAAAATAGATAAGTTGCAGTGGGTGTGAGTGACCATGTGTTCAGTGTTGGTGCAGTCGTGGCCGGGGGTGTGTTCTGAAGGAAAATGGAGCCAGTTGTTTTTGCACATCTTTCACTTATGTATATGAGGACGTGTGTGTGTGTTTTTATGTGCCGTTATTAGATCAGCCTGAGTCGGGCTCTGATATGTGCTTGGCAACTCTGATCACGTCTCAGCGCCATCAAGGATGTTGAAAGCAATTAAAGGGTATCTGTATGTGTGTGTGTGTGTGTGTGTGTCGTGGGGAATAAGTTATGGTTGCGGATTAGATAAAGAAATTAAGCAAAGGAGTGCGTTTTCTAGGAGTAAATGTGTAACAGTGAGCTTATTTAACCAGCTGAGACGTGCAGTGTAAATTAATTGTTTTTGGATGTTTTATCACAGAATCTTGTCTCCTTAAACGAACACCAGGTTTTTATTTTCCTCCCTTTAATCCCGCCGTGTGTTGCATGTTCTTTGAGTCATCCAGGCATGTGTGTTTCTTCAGAAGTAGGCCATGCGAGAGAGTCCCCCATGTGTCAGTGGAATCAGTGACACTCTGTGTTTATAACAGGCTGTTTTTTTTTTTTTTTTTTTTTCCTCCCCCATGGTTTTTTTTTGTGCCCCTCCCCCCCCCAAGCACCAACCCCCTTACTCTCTGCTGCTGAGCATTAGCTATGTGACATTTTAGGCTGTGTGCTTCTCCTATTGGGCATTTTGAGAGAGAATGTAGTTATTAGGAATATTGGTCAACGGCTAGCTGTCTTTGTTAGCCTCGTCCTGTTTGTTTCTGGGGAAAGCCGTAGAGATGCTAAGTCATTTTGAAAAAGGAAACCCTTTGCTTTTTGACCTTATGTTGCTGGATGTTTCTTATCATAAGTTATTGTTAGATATAAATTTCCAGTTATCAGTACAAACTCTAAACATGTCAATTTGGCTTCCAGTTTTTTTTTTTTTTTTTTTTGGTTTAAGTTCAGACTCACGACTGGCCAAAATATTGTTTCAGCGTTTTTGATATGTGCAGGCACATTATGAATGACCTGCTTACACACAGTGAGATTCTCGGCATTAAAATCTTGAGTTAAAATACCTGAGTTTTAACACAAAAACTTGTAACGTGATCCAATTACCTTTGATTTATGAGAAAAGAGCAACAGTTATTTTTTTTGTGCCAGAAAGCAATACAAGATTGTATTAAGACGTATCTATAACATTTATTTATTTATTTTTAATGTATGAGGTTAAGCAGCAGCATAAAATTAATTCCCAATAAGTAGAGTTATGTCTGTTTTTCAAAAATATGTCATGTTTATCTTCTGCACAAGCAACACTTATATAACAACCTTGTACTAACAGGTTTGCTGCTTTACAGACCTTCAACTGTGGCCTGTCTGCTGTGCTTCAGTGGGTAGAGTAGTTGACTTGCAATCGGGATGTTGTAGGTTCAATTCCAGCCTGCATATGTGATTTCTATATATAAATATGAATCTAGTGTACTTCATGGTCTAGTAACATTAGAGTATTTCTCGTTGAGGTGACTGCTGTCTTGTTATAGAAGATTTGGCATCATTTTGGGTTTCCATAATGATAAATGGCGACAGAGTGACAGATAAGATCAAAACAACATGTAAGCACCGCAAGTTGTTCAGACGCTGAAGGAGACAGAAAACATCACTATAACAACCAATGGCTGGATGTCTAAATGTAGCATAAATGTACTGAAGAGATTTAAGAGATTGGGAAAAGAAAGAGTAAAGGCCTTGTTCTCATAAACTCAATATTGTGTCTTGTTTCGTCTTGAGTTTTAGCTGTCTGGACTTAAAACTATGCAAATAGATGATAAATGTTTTAGTGTCTTAACTAGTTGAAAGCTTGATGTGCTTTGATGCCACTAACTAACCAATGCCTTATGTCATAAAATGTGGCAATTAACATCCACTGATGCTCACTTTTTTCAAAAACATTATTTGCAAACATCATACATAGAAATACGAAACAAGGATAGAAATGCTGAATAAAGAGTTTCACAAAATAAGTCGACAGCTGCATCATTTAAGCCGGAAGTGTAAAATGGCGCGATGAACTTAAAGCTGAATGTCATCCAGTAGAAACCAGCTGTAATGAGGTTCTCACTCACTGACTTTTTTAGCCTGGATTTACAGAACAGTATTTTTTCTACGAAATGCTACTAAAGTGAGTTTGCCAGAATATAAACGACCCAATTACATCTCAGCAATTGCTCAGTATGTTTAAAATTAGCTGAACGGTGTGAGAGTTATGGAAAAGTACAGACGCAGGTCGGATAATCATACCTGCCTGCACGCACACTTTCTTCTTTATGCAGCTGCTCTCTATTAAAAAAAGCTGAAATCTCAAACTTTAGTTTTTTTTCCCTTGGGTAAACCAGTCACATCAATTTTTCATATAACACAGACTGCATGTAGTTAAAACAACTCAAATCCAGTTTTATTGACTGAATATTTGTATTTTAAGGCTTGTTCTAATGAGAGGAACTGTATCAAATGTAGCTTTCTGCATCGTTAGCACAAAGCTAACGATGCTTTAGCAGGGTGAGAGAGTTCTGTTTTTTTCTTTGCTGTCCTGCTCGCGGTGGTCGCTGATTGAACGCTTGTGTTCAGGTGAAGCTGTGCAGACACGTCGCTCCAGACCACCTGCTACAGGTTTGCTCCAGAGTTTGTCCGCTGCTGGAGAGGGAGGTCCCCGCCAGCGTGCCGGGACTCACCAGCCTGCTGGGGGCCGGCAGGCAGAACCTCCTGCGCACCAGCAACAGTAAGTGGATGAACAATGCATGAGCTGCTTTTAACATCGACACAAGCCGGTGGATATACATTATACATGTGCAGGCTGTCATGGAAACCTTTGGGAACGAAATCTGAAAGTGTTAAAAGATGGAGGGCTTAAATACATCCAGACCAAGCTGAAGGTGTGCTGCACAGCGATCTTTAAAACATGACTGTTTCTGCTTCCTATTTTCTTCCAGGCTGCAAACATGTTGTGTGGAAAGGTTCGGCGTTGGCAGCACTACACTGTGGAAGACCCCCGGAGCCACCTATTATTTATGGGAGTCCACCCAATATTGGTATGAATTATCATTATGTTTTTTATCTCGAACATGCACGAGCTTGGATGGGTTCGTCACAGTATGATAACCTTAAGTAAAACTACACTGCGTCGCTGTATGTACACCAACATTTGATCCATTAAATTTAAAACAGAAAAAAACAGCTATTATTTTTACTGCTGCAAAAGTACAATTGTGTATCGTAGTTTTAATAATTTGTTTGTTGTTATTTTTCATAAGGACACACTAATCAAATATAGGCTTTGATAGGCTAATCAAAGCCTATATTTTGTGCTTAGCACTACAATATAAGCTAAGCATATTTTACCTAAAACTCCTCCAGTTGCATAGTTTAGCTTTGCCTGTTTCAGTTTATTTAAAGGAAATAAATTGATAAATAAACTCCATTCAAGCTACTGAGATGTTTATTTTCTTATTTTAAAAAGGAATTGTATTCTTTGTTTATTTGCATCTTTAAGAAAAATCTGTAGAATGTGTCAATTTTTTTTCCTGATTAATCGTCAGAATAATCAATGACTAAAATAATCGATAGTCACAGCTCTGCTGTTGAGTTTGTATTCTTTGTAAAATGAAGAAAAGTCGAGCTGCTTTCTTTCAGGCCCCTTCTGTCGCCTGTCACCAGTCGGCTTTAGGAAACCTTATTTTGTGGTTTTGAAACCCAAACTTTTTAAAACCCTGACGTACCTTGACACTAATAGCTGCACCAATCAATCTGTCACATACCAGGCAATTTTTCCCTGAACTTACTGAAAACAATTGTATTTTTTCCATATTCCTTAAATTTCTAACCAACAGCATTCACTTTGACGCACTTGTTTTACTACGATAAAAATCAGATGACTGTGAATTGGGACCTTCTCGTGAACGCTCCACTTTACTTTGGGTTCATTTGCCACTCAGACCTCAAAGAACCCAGAATTTGTTATCGATCAGGTCAAACCTGACCTGTCCCTCTCTAGCTCACTCCTCAACTCTTTTCTCTTTGAGTTTTGTACTGATTCTCTTGATTTTTCTCTGCCCATGAAGTGGAGACGAGCTACAGCCGTCGACTGAACGGCTCCTACCGCCTCCGTCAACTGGTGCCCACAGCCGTCTACCAACACATGAAGATGCACAAGAGGATCCTGGGACATCTGTCGTCAGTGTACTGCGTGACCTTCGACAGGACGGGTCGCCGCATCTTCACAGTAAGAAGGCTGTTTTCTTTCTTTTTTTTTTTTTTGCATTTGATGTTGCTGGTATATGTTTAGATGTTTAGTTGAGCTCAGTTGGGACTAAAGCTGAACATATTAATCAGATTAATCGATTATTTAAATAATTTTCAACTAATTTAGTAAACAATTAATTGTTAATTGGAGTAGACAGTTTTAAAAAAAAAGGCCATTTCCAGAAAGGTGAACATACTCAGAGCAGTAATTTAGCCAAAACTGTATAAAATATAAAAACATTTTGTGTTTAAGATAAAAAAAAAATCCTTTGCATGGTAAAATGTTCCACCCAAAACTCCTCAAGTGGAATAGTTTTAGGTTCAAATTCTTCACAACAAATTCTCCAAAAAGCACCTTTTTAACAGATTAATAATAATAATAAAAAAAAAAAATCAGCATGATCCCTACTCTGTATTAATATTAGGTCCAGTTTTTCACATTTTGCAGATGCATCCTTTGCTCCAAATTTAATTATGTTCCAGTTTAGGCTGCATAATGTTAAAAAAGGAATTGAATTATTAGTTTATTTTTATCTTTAGATGTATTTCTAATATAGCGCAAAAATGGTTTAAATAAAAAATCTGCAAAATGTGCCACTTTTTCAAACCGATTAATCGTCAAGTCAGGGTAATCTCTAGATTAATCGATAACTAAGATAATCGTTTGGGAGACACCTGTTTGTTCTTGTGTTTAAAGGAGCCTGTTGAGCTCTGAACGAGTCGGTAGCTTTGCGTTTACCTAATTAGACCTTTAAGCGTCTGTTTTTCTTGCTGTGCGGGTCATTTCTCCTACGTCACAGAAGTTGCACTCAGTCACTCACAGCTACGGGATATGGAAGAAACAAATCCAACAAATTTTGATCTAACAGCCACGTCTCGTGCCGAGTCCAACACGGGTCCAACAATTTGATGTTGTTGATTTAAACACCGCTTGCTGCAGTACACCATTTCCAGCGTCTGCTCCTGAAATCTCTAAAAATGGCTGGCTGCTGCGAAGGAGGGAGGGAGGGAGCTCAGATTGTCTCTCTGTGTCTGTTATCTGTCCCTCGTTTTCTCCAACCCATCTTCATCCTGGCCTGTCCCCTCTTTGTTCCCTTCCCCTCCGCAGTCCCCTTCCTGCTATTCCTCTTCTTAACTGGGGAAAATGTTTCCTCTGAGGGGCTGGCTAAGTGCCAGAGTTAAAATTCATTTTCGCTCTCTGTCACTTTCTCATTCTCTCTTCTTTTCTTCCCTCTCTCTTTCTCTCCTGCTGTCTCCTCTCATCACTTTTATTTATTTATTTGCTTATTTTTGGATCTCTCCACTCTTTCAGCTGCAACCTTCTATTAATTAATTATTAGATTGTTGTGTGTGTGTGTGTGTGTGGGGGGCCTAAACACACTCTCTGATTATTCCGTGAACAAGTGTGAGCCGTTTTGGTTAAGCCATAGATTCTCAGGCATCCATATTGATTTGTGTAATATAGCTCAGAAATCGGTCGGAGCTCATTATCGGGGTCATTGGAGATGACAAATCGAGACGTCTTGGTTTGGATGAAAAGTCTCTGTAATTGTAGTTTTCCTTGTTTCGATGTTAAATTTCTCTTTCCAAACTTTGACGCTTTTATTCCGGTAAATCAGAGTTTGTGCGTAGTCGAAAAATGTTTGGAAAAATACAGAAAATGTCCTTCACAGATTCAAATCTCCCTCAGATCAAACATCTATTACCTTTTCATAAACTACACTCAATATCTGGGCTCTTCTAGTCGAATGTTCTTGAGATAAAAATTAAGAACACAACATTACCCACCAACTCATGTATGAAGTGAAAATCACCCTCCGAAGTCCTACCTTCTTGGTTTTAATTGGAGACATTTGATGTGTGTTTTTGCATCACAATGACGGTGACCTGTTGTGTTTCTAAATGAAGCCGAGATCTTAATCAAGGCACAGATGGATGTGGCAGCACGTTGAATTGCAAAACATTTTAACCCCCGACAGGCTGGATCACAGACAGGAATGCTCAGCCGAGTTTCTCCCCCTACTTAACCCCTGAAGGCGGGTTTCATGCCTGAGTTGTGCTCTTGATCTTCTGCTCAAACTAAGGAATGTTAATGAAACGACCTTTAATCGGACAGGTTTCTTCTCGATGCTGCACTCATGCTGTTTATTAAGCTTCTTTGGACCTTATTTGATGTGGAGCTCAAACATTCTGTGATTTCTGTTGCTACTTAAGATTTTGATAAAAATCAGAACAGTGTTTATTGTCAACGTTTTTCACCATCAGTTGCAACTGAATGCGATAAAAGACAAAAATCAGACATAAATAATATTATTTCAGCCACATTCTGCTTTGCAAGTTTCCTCAAATTTTTTATTTTATTTTAGTGTATAGATGTGATGTATTTCCAAAATAAGTCAATCTTGATTGCAGCTAATAATTGAGGAACCTTGCTCTACTTTCTTTAGCTCTGTGCAGGTCAGCCTTCCTGGGCACTTAGTCAGTAGCTTTGCCTTTCTTCCTGTTCATGATCAAATGTTTTCCTGCACTCTATTGCATGTTAGTGTGAGAGTGTTTAAGTGCAATTTAGTCATACTTCAGTGTATCCAGTTTTTAAATAGAAGACAAAAATGTTGCTGCAATAAAAGTACACTTGTTGTTTTTGCTTTTTGTTTGTACATACAGAGCATATTTCTCATATTGCAGTAAACACATGCATAGTTCTGGTTAAAGGTTTACATACGTTCTCCAATGGCGTTGCATATTATATTCTGTTTGGATCTTTAGTGATTTATCTGAACAGTTTCAGTTCAGGGTGGAGTTATTATATAGCACACAGTCTCAAAGTTACCTCTTAAAAAAAGATTTTTGAATTTGTTGTGGATTTTCAGTCAGATGAAGTTTGTACATTTCTTTCGAGATGTAGGTGTTAAATTCCATTCATAGAGGTCTTATACAGTCTTAGATTTGCCTTGGTGAAACCTGCAGATGTCTTGTGTGGCGCTGAGGTTCTAGAACGTCTTATCTGAATGCATGTTTGGGCTCATTGCCCAATTGGGCCACATAGATCAATTTTACTGTTGATCTGCAGTGAAGAGGAAGAATGTGTGGAGTTAGTCCTCCACCAGATTTGTGGAATGCACCAGTACAACTGGTAGCTAAACTGGCCTCGCCTTGACTCCTCCAAACATGATTCTTGTTGTCTTGGCCAAATAGCTTAGTCATTGTCTTGTCTGACCATAAAACTTTTCTCCAGAAGGCAGTTGTCCAAGTGGACAGCTGCAGATTTCAGTCAAGGCAGAGGTTTCCACTGGCACTTCCTGAGACTTTACTGGTGTCCCATCATCTTCTAATTCAATATTCCCATGTTTCATTGTTTTTAAGCCATTTTAAGATGTTGTTTTCACATGTGACAGTCATGCCGTTGCATTCTTTTTCCGTTTTCTTTCCCAGGGCTCAGACGACTGCCTGGTGAAGATCTGGGGAACCGACGACGGGCGTCTGCTGGCGACCCTGCGCGGTCACGCTGCTGAGATCTCCGACATGGCCGTGAGCTACGAGAACACCATGATCGCTGCCGGGTCCTGCGACAAGACCATCAGAGTGTGGTGCTTACAAACCTGCGCACCGTTGGCCGTCCTGGAGGGGCACGCAGCCTCCATCACTTCCCTACAGGTAGGGGGAGTCAAGGTTTGCCAGTGGCATGATGTAAACCATTTTTTCC